AAAATAAGAACCAAGATACATCGTGTACAGGTACAAGCACCCAATGATAAATGTAAATGTATTGTATACCTAAAATGTACCAATAAAAGAATTTAAGGGGGGGAAAAAAAGTCAGTTGAGAATATTTTGTATCACTGTTCACATTTTTGTTTCTTTCATTCCACCATAATTCTTCTTACATTACTGAATCGGTTAGTAACATGATTTAATAAACATATATTTGTAAAATCTATTAGATGCTTTTATCTTCTGTTCTTTCATCATCACATTTTTATGGCACTCTACTAGGTAGTGGGCTAATTAAGACTGAAAAGCAAATAGACAAATATATAATATAGTATCAGCTAGTGTAAATCATATATAAAAAACAAAGCAAGGGAAGAGAACTTTAGGAAGATCAGAGATCACTTCTGAAATTTAAGCCTCAAAACTACTGTGAGCAGGGGCCGGAGATTTAGCTCAGTGGTTCTGTGGCCTGCCTTGCAAGCTCAAGGACCCGAGTTTGATCCCCAGTACCAAAAAAAAACCCTACTGTGAGCAAAGAATGCTCAGAGTGTAAGTGGTGACACCCGCCATCTTCCCACTCTGCTGGACTTTATATATACTGCAGCCCCATTCGGGCAGCCTCCTTGGAGAAGATAGCTATATCAGATATACTAAAAAAAAATTAAGATTATAAATTAGTAATCCAAAGAGCTATTTTGCTGTCCTGAACATTTGTTTCTTCTTGTTTTTGTTTGTTTTTTGGAATAGTTGCCAACAAGAATTGAGATTTCAAATCCGGATTTCTGATTTGTAGAAAAAGCTGGCCCTGCATTGCCACACAGTAACAACTGGCTGGAGATGAGCAGAAGTTCTTTCCAGTTCACCAGTCCCTTCGGCGCTCCAGAGAGAGCTAAGTTTATAATTCTTGCTCAAAGGTATTTTGTTTTTCGTTTCTTGGTGCTGGCATTGAACCCAGGGCCTCATGCATGCTAATCACACATATTACCACTGAGCTGCACTTCCAGCCCCCCGGAAAGTCTTCTAAGAAGCAGCTTGCTAAAAAAACAAGTAGCTGTATGTGTAAGTTACCAGGGTTTGTGATCTCATCACCTTGGTTACAACCTAGACTTTCAATTCTGGGATAAAAGTTCAACATCTTAACCAAAAGCAATCACCTGTGGGCTGGATGGAACCCTTGAATCTTAGCCTAGGGACTCTGCCCAAAATGCTTATTCTGAATTGAATAATGATCAATTAAGTCACTTTGATTCTCTGAGAAATGTGTCAGTCAAAGCACAGGCCAAGAGGCAGAAGCCAGGAGGTGGAGAGAAGAGAAGAGTGAAGCTGTTAAGTAACACCATGGGAAGCTGAGAGAGCAAAGCCAAGCATGGGAAACAACAGAAGTAGATGACTAGAGAATTCAGTAGTTGATGGGGCCACAAAAACTGCCCCAGTTTCTGAGATTATTCCTATATTTAATTATTTCTTTATGCAGTATTCTTACTACTTTAGGCAACCTAGGTCTCCATTTCTTGCAACTTGAAAACAACACAGAGGTTCCATGCAGTGTATTTTCCAGTTACCTTATGTACCAAATTTATTTTAATGGCTTTGGAAACTTTTCAAAATGTTTTGAAGACTTTTCTGTGTTGTTTTAAAGGGATTTAAAACTACTATCATTCACCAATATTTACCATAAAGCAAACAATACACATATAGTTGAATAACATTTTGGTTACTACAAAGTTACTGGTTTTCCCAGCTTCTGCTGAACCAGTAACACAAATACTGCAAGTCAACAACTTAAATTACAAAAGTTTGTTCACTTGTTTTGTCAACAAGTCTTAAACTGCTGAACAACTACCCATCTGATTAGTTTTCCTGGAGCCAAGTCTCAGACATTCCATGAATCACAACTTTTTGTAAATGTAGCATAGGGACTTCAACTTTCTGTAAAGGACTGGCTCACAAGAAGAATCTTGAGTGTCTATTTAACTAAGTCTTGCTTGGATCACTGAAACACACCAGGATTTTTCTATTTTTCTCACATAGGTAATTAGCAATGATAAAAGTTGCTCTTTCAGGAATTTTGCAAATAAACTGCTGCATTTACATGATACAGCTGCTTTTAAATTATCCAGCTTATACTGCTGACTTGTCTGTGTCCTTAAACAGAAAATACAAAATGTTGTTTTACCATTTCTTATGATCAACACATCAGCAACCATGTAAGACAACGTCCTCAAGTTCAACTGAAGATGTGCATCCCTGGCTGCTCCAGAAGCACCCTCACCCCTTTCATCGGGTTTCTAATCTATTATAGCTACAAAGCCAAACTAATACACTTCTTAAAATCACATGAGTAAAAATAGAACGTGAAAAATAAACATTAAGCCAAAGAGACTACAGGGAACTTTTTTCTCCTCTACATCTTCAATATGGTTATAATTATAAAGTGTAACAAGCGTAAATATGCTCTGAGTGAAGAAGGTGTAAGGGATGCTAAAGAAACCGCAGGATTTAGTCCAACTGCCCTATGACAGCTAATTTAGCATATTAGCCATTCTTTTCCAAGACTTCTGCATTTCTGAACAGCTAAATAGCTACAAATACTAGGTAAGGCAAAATAATACCATGTTAAAGAATGTATTTTCACATCGAGTCAACAAAGGATCCCTGAATATCGAAGGTCCACAATTATCCTCTTTCCAATAGCCTTAAACCTGTCTCCAATTAAAACACACCAAGGGCTGGGGATTTAGCTCAGTGGTGCCACCGCCTGCCTTGCAAGCACAAGGTCCCAAGTTCGATCCCCGGTACCCCCCACCCCCCAAAAAAAGACACACCAAACAGGTCTTCGTATGTACATCTAAAACAAACAAGCAAAAACTGCACAACCAAACTTTAAAATTTGGGTTTTAGATGGAAAAAATCTATTTCGTCCTTAGATCATCAAAAGCTCAGTAACTTCAAAAACCCAAGATGGTTTCATCTCCATCACAATTGCCTCAGCGAGGACTGACTGCACCAGAGTCCTGTGTTTCCGGTGAATTTTTGTTCTTATGTGACAACTATATTAATAGCTATGAAGAAAAGCATGCAATTAAAGAACCTGTCACTTGTAGAAAAAAATATGCCAGTAAAATTCTCAACTTGTTACCAGTTTCAAAAAGTGGTGATGAAAAGAACCAAAAGCACTGGACACCAGCAAGGGCTCCAGTGCCCACTCACAGGGATCTCCGGGACTGGCAATTCCCAGCCCCTGGGGCAACAAACAGGCCAGAGAATTCAAGAACTTGGTGGAATTTATACTCAAAACATCAGCTTAGGGATATCTGTACAAGATGAATAATCCCAAACACAGAAAGAAAGGCATAGACACTAATATGCATAACAATCTTATTTATAATAGGGAAAAAGAAATACTCTGTCCAGTTATAAAGAAATAAATGCTTATGTAAATTAGACCATATCCATATGATGAACTATGATGGAGGCAATAAAACGTTGTGAAAGAATAATGTAAAAAATGTTTATAACATAGTAAGGAAAAACCGGGTGCATATTGTATATTTACTACATCTATGTGTCTCTATGTAAACATCAGTTATCTAACTTTTTTTTTTTTTGGTACCGGGATGGAACTCGGGACCTTGTGCTTTCGAGGCAGGCGGTGGCACCACTGAGCTAAATCCCCGGCCCTATCTAACATTTTTGAGACACAACCTTAGGATGGTAATAAGTTTCACTGAAGGTTAAGTAAAATTTATTCTTTACTAGAAGTTAGAAAATATTAAGTACTTTAAAAAATTAAGATAGATTGATATAATATTCCAGAAGGAGAGTCGCCAAAATAAGCTTAACTATTTTACTAACGCTACCAAATATGAAATAATAAAATGTGATTCTGTGGGGTTTTACCCTCTTTATGTGGAAAAATCTGGTACTCTACAAAATGTTCCACTTGTATTTGTAAAAGAATCATTGTTACTAACCCACATTGCTTTAAATGTTCTATACTGTATTCAGAGTAGCTTAAAAACAAGCCCAGATACCCTATTTCTTTTCTTTTTCTTTTTTTGAGACAGAGTCTAGGTATGTAGTTTTGGCTGGCCTTGAACTCACTATGTAAACCTGGCTGGCTCGAATTTGCAGCAACCCTCCTGTCTCAGCCTCCCGGATGCTGGGATTAGAGACATGTGCCACCACAACTGGCTTCTACTGTGCTTTAATTGTTCTATTTTCAGAGTATTTTAAACACAGACCTAAATACCCTATTTTTATGTACATATGTGAATATATAACAGAAAGTTAGAAGAGAAAATATACAAACAGTAATTCAATCCGAGATGTGATGAAGGGAAATATTTTCCTTTCTTTTCTGAATTCTCCTAATTTTTTTTTTTTTTTTTTGTACCGGGGATCGAACTCCGGTCCTTGAGCTTGCGCAGCAGGCAGCAAAGCCACTGAGCTAAATTCCCAGCCCTCTCCTAATATTTTTCAAAGAGAAAAAAATGCAAGTGCTCCTCAGGCTGAAGTCATCTCATGACCTTTCCTTCCAGATGACTTCTTAGATGATCTTAGTCACTTCCAAGTCTCCAGGTGGTCTATAAACTGATGATTCCCAAACCTAAACCCAAAGACCACACCTTTTTTTTTTTTTCTAAAGACGGGGTCTTGCCCTGTAGTTCAGGTTGGTCTTGAACTCACTATGTAGCCCAGGCTGGCACAGAACTCGCAGAGACTCTCCTGCCTCAGCCTCCCATATGCTGGGATCACAGGTATGCACTACTATGCCTGTATTCTTTTTTGAGCGAAAAGAAAAATATATCAAATTCCTCCTAAACATCTCCACTTTATGACCCACAAGACCTCAAATTTCAACAAGCTCCATTCATCTGCTAGCCACCGCCTGGCCCCAATCTGCCCCTCCTCCTGGGCTTCTCACCTGGTTCAATGGCAATGCTCCATTCCCACCAGCCCAGCCACAAATCTCGCCATCAGTATAGATTCCTCCTTTTTCTTTCTCCTCATATCAGTTGGCCATCAAACCAAGAGACTTAATCTTCTAAAGTCTCTCCCATCCTGTCTCCCCCACTAACTAGTCTTTGAGGACCTGTAGTCCTCCACCCAATCTTCCACATCACCCCCCCCAAAAAAGAGCCATGAATATAATATAGCTTCCCTGAATAAAATTACACCTGGTGGTGGTTGGGTAAAATTCAAAACTCTTTCATCTGGCGTAGAAATTCCCTCCGTATCTCGACTTCCCGGGAGCCATTCTTCATTTCTCACGGGCTCACGCCCCAATCACACCGAAACAGCTCTTCATACACATCTCAATTCGCTCTCACAATGCCTGATCGCCCCGAACTCCATCGGGACCCACTCCAGGTATCCTAGACCGTCGGGGCTCAAGGCGCCTGGCCCGGGGGCGTCACCGTCCACCGCCCATCAGGCTCCATCCAGACTCGCGCAGCCACCCCAACTCCCCGCATGCTCCATCCCCCAGAAGGTCTCAGATCACTCCTGCACCCATCTTCAGCCCTTATAAACAGTTATCCACACTGCAACAGAATGAGCTGTCTCCCAACAGCGGGAATTCCTCCAGGTGCGGGTTTTCTTCCTTGTTCCGTTGCTCAAGTGCCCACTACTGCATCTTACAGACTACAATCTTTAACCCCCAAGACGGGTCAAGGCCACTCAGGAATGTGGCGCAGGCTAGGGCAGGAAGAAAGCGGAGGTGGAAGCCACCAGAACAGTCAAAGCCAGGAGAGGGTCAGCCCAGCACCTGGTGCACCTCGGGAGGCGGGGACGGGACCATTCACCCAGCTGTCAATCAAAGGTCCCGCCCTAGGGGACCGGAGAGGCCACCCGAGGCCACCCCGAGCCCACCGCCTCCCGCCCCGGTCTGAAGCCTCACTTCTCCACATCCGCTGACTTCATGATGTGGGTCTTGGCCGCCGTCAGCTTCCACGGCCCGAAGGAGAAGTTCTGGTGACTGCTCTGGAAGCCGTGGATCATCATGGCCGAGGTGCGCGCGAGCTGCGGCTGCGGCGGCGGTGAGCACCCGTCCCTCCGCCTCGCTGCGGCACCGCCCCCTCTCCCTCCGAGCCGTTACCATGCCCCGCCCTGCCCCGTTCCCACGACCCAGACACCACCCTGCTTTCCGCCTTCCTCCCCGCCCCTTCACTTTTGCTTCCGGGGCGAGTTGCTACCCTACGTGACCCACGTTTAATGCTATGACGCGACGCACCGGAAACAGGAAAAGAGGGGAGGGCACTGGGGGCGGGACTTCGGCAGTAAGGGGTGTGGTCAGGGCAAGCCTTCCCTTTCAACGCTCTGGGTGACGTCATCCCAGAAGAGCTGAAAGAACTGGTCTTCTGGATTGGGAAGACGACCAGGCGACCGCACGTGTAAGACATGTCACCATAGTTTACAGTCCTCCAAAGCAGTGTAATTACCACGTGTGCTCTTGAATCGTGGTAGAGAGAGGTGCAACCTGTCCCCACTAAGACCAAAAACCAGTAATCTCTAGGAGTGTTGGAGGTCCAGCAGCAACGTGACTTACAAACGGCCAACTAGCTACTATTAACTAACAGACTGCCATCAAAAGTTTCATCCTTCCTCATGATAAATGTAATATGTACCACAAACATGTACTAATAAAATTTTTAAAAAATTTTTTTCACAGTTTACCATTTTATTTTAAAAGAGGAAACGTAAATCTAATACAAATAATACAGTTGGAGCTATGGGGACACTCCCCTCCACTCACCTGAACCTGAGCAATACCCCAGGGCCAGCTCCAAATCCTTGTCCTAAAACTTACTACACTGAAGCAGAGATACGAAAAGCAAAGACTCGTAAAACAGCCCCGGAGTACTAGACCTGCCCGCCCCCCCCATGACTTGTGGTAACCTTTCTTCACCTGAGCTCATTGATGGTCATGCATATGGGCTGCATCACATACATCCAATTAAAAGTGAGTCATGGGAGAGGTCATGCTCACAGACACAGCTGACGTGACTCAGCACCCGTCCATCATGTCAGTCATGCTCTGGAAGACCCAATGGGAGGGGCCCTAGCCCTGGTGCAACATTGTAAACCCCTACAAAAAATTAAAAATGTTTAAATTGTTTTCACCCTCATGATCCAGGCATGGTGGCAACCACCTGTAAGCACAAAAACACGTTCCCTAAGACTATTTTAATTGAGTTACTTTTGGTTGAGAATAAGAGAAACCCTCTTCAAACTGGCTTTAGCAAAGGAGTCTATTGTTTAAAAAAGAAGACATTTAGGCATTTGCAGTTCCCTCATGACATGTGAGGAGAAAGTGAACAACTAGGCTTCAGGAAGGAAGGACTCAGGGATGCAAAGTCTGAGGTGCTGGGTGGCCCTACACAGTCTCTCTCCACAGCTCCTAGTCTCTCTCTTCCTCTCTCCTCTTGGGCCTATGTCTGCTTCCTTCTCCTCTATTTGTAGAGCAATCTACTTCTCCCACTGTGTGGCCCCCAGAGCTTCCTGGGAGACATGTTGATAGCTACATCTTGGCTCACACTTCAGGTTCCCAGCAGAGAGAGTCTTTGACTCAGCTTGAGTCAGGTGTCCAGCATGGCCCAGTCAACTGTAGCTTGATTGGCTTTGCTGGTGCAAGTCCATGGATATGGGGACAGTTGTTCTCACAGAGACGTTAACTCCCACCCCCAATGTTGTGGGCTGTATGCTAATTAGAGGAAGATAGAAGGGTTTTAGTATGGTACAGCTAGTGACCACATAGCAATGGGGAACAGGCAGAATCCTGGGCCCTCGCCTTCGACTGAATAAAAGCATAATTTGTGTTTCCTTTGGGGACAGTCAGGGACTTGAACACCATTTTTCCTAGGAACCATGGCTCTTCACTTAGGCCTACAGATTCCCAATAGGTAACTAAAAGCAGAACAAAGTTTGACCTTTATTTTCTATCCTTTGTTACTGTAAATCTTGGATGAAAACTCTTCTCAGCTCTGCATAGGGGTGTGTTGATCATTTAGGGAGTGTCTATCCAGGAGCTGGCTGAACAGGGTTGATTAGCCCTGAATTTATAGGATCTCATTCCCCTTCAAGACTGAGGGCATGAAGATAAGAGATTTATAGGGATATTTAGCTGCACCCAGAACCCTCCATCTGCTGTCCTAAACCTTGATGACCTGAATTCCAGGAAAGGCGGAGCCTCACATGACTGAGGCCACCACAGACATAGTCCTTTCCCAGGATCCATCCTCAGCCATAAAGATTCCAGAACTATGACACCAGGAATGAGATGATGATCAACTGAATCCCAGCCCGCCAGCTAACCCTTGAACACTGACCTCTGCCTTTGCAGGTGGGGCAGTCTGAACCCCTGTATCAGAGTATGTCCCCTCCAACTACCTAAGCTGAAGTCCTTTCTTAATTTTCCAATTAAAGCTCTTTTTCCCTGTATAGATTTTTTATTTTAGTTTTAATTCCCATTATTACTAAAAGCAAAGACCCAAGCTAGCCAGGGACACAAGCAAGTAGCAGTGTGAGATATGAGAAAACAGACACTGAAAAAGAACAAGACATTGAAAGAGAATTTATGGAACTTAACGTCAATCTACTTTACAGATTCTGTTTGCCAAAAGTAGACCATGCTGCCTAAGCAGCATGCTGGCAAGGTTTGAGGCTCTTGAAAGGATGGGTAAGGCAAGTATTAGGATATCCATAGGTGCAGTGGGCTGTAGTCCAAAGTCAAAATCAAAACCACTACACAGTGGCTCATCATATATGCAAAACAGGACTACCAACTTATAAATCAGCCTCTACATCTTTTATATCTATAGGCATAGCCAAATATAAACCCATTTGGATTATGGGAAATTGTCTTAGAAGAATACACACTCCCTACTTCAACTTCGAAAACACTTCTCTGGTTTTACGAGGACAAATGTGAATTTTCGCCTGCCCAACAAGCTGCTGAGTTCCAGCCAGCGGGAGCTGCCTGGTGGCCATCCTTACATTGGGCATGGGCTCGTGCCTCATGCACTCACAGCCGGGGCTTTGGGAAGATGACTGGGCCACTGGGGTGCTGTAGCTAACTTGCTGTGAAGGGGTGGGGTCTGGTAGGAAGAGGAGGGTCACTGGGGGCGTGGCCCAGGAAGGTGTGTCTCCCTTCCAAGCTCCTCCCTTCTCTCTGTGGTTCCTGGTCTCCATGCCTTGAGTAGCTTTTCCTCCACCATGCCCCTCAGGGCTGCCATTTCTGCCTTGGAGCTGCCCACCACGGATTTAACTGTGAGCCAAAATAAATCTCTCTTCCTTTACAATGTGGGTGTTGGGTATAGTGACAAGAAAGTGACTAATACAGCTCCCTGCTTGCTACTTGTGATGTGGCCTCTGTCAAGCCTTACTTTTTCATTTTTTTCTCATTATTATTTATAATAGCAGGTACCTCATGGTATTATTGGCAAGATTAAATGAAACTATATATATGTGTGTATATATAAAACTATATATATATATGTATATATATACACACACAAGTAGCCAGAACAATGTCTCAAAAAAGTATTCAATAGACCATCCATTCGTAATTCTGGAGGAGTAGCAGTCGCCCAGTGCAAGTTTGTGTACTGAGGGATAACGTTTCTCTGAGCGTTATCGGATTGTTCCTTTAGAAATGCCTCACCAAACAAAAGTATTCCAGGTCCTTGCCCCCAACAAAGAATTGGAAGAGACAAGCCAAAAATGGTGCCAAAAGTTTATTTGAAAAGTGCAGGGTGATTGGGTATGGGAGAAATTAGCTCTGCAGAGTCAACTTGGGCTGAACAAAGAGAAAAAGAAGGTAAAAGCAAAAGTAAAAATACACACTGCAGCTGAGAAACGCAATATGGGCTACAGTGGGAATTCACAACAGCGAGCTCCTCATGATGTGCGTCTTATTTTGTGCCGTGGGAGCTTGGGAGATGTTCTGCAAACCGGGTCCTGGCATTGACCTGGGATCTTGTGATTGACAGGTCCTGCTCATTCCCCCAGGCAGCTTTGCCATGCACTATCTCTTATGTCCCAAGTGTGGTTGCAAGGCCACAGCATAATCTGGAGCACTTGATAAAAATCAGATTCCTGTAGCTCCGTGCTGAACCACCGTCAGAGTCAAATCTGATTAGAGAAGAGGTCTCTTTTTAACAAGCTCCCCGGACTAATCTTTCATAGCTGAACTTTGAGAAACTGGCTCACGGCAACCCCAGGGGCTACTTAAAAGCACAACTTCAGGGCCAGGGATTTAGCTCAGTGGTTCCGTCGCTTGCCTCGCAAGCACAAGGACCTGAGTTTGATCCCTGGTACCAAAAAAAAAAAAGCACAACTTCAAGGTGAGATGAGAAAACTCCTTATTTTGAACATTGCTCTTGCCACTTTCTGAAGCAATTCTGGGAGTCCTGTTTCCTCAGTGTCTTTAGTTGTGCTGTCGTGGCTGCCTTATTGTCCTGAATCGATTGAAAATGATTACCTTTCATGGTCGTTTTGACTTTGGGAGAGAGCCCGAGGTTGCACTGGGCCAGCTCCTGTGAATGAGGTGGATGAGGAGACACAGTCATGTTTTTATGAGCCTGTCTTTCTTTTGGATGCCAGTTGGTAGCATTATTCACACTTTATTAAAGACACCCGGGGAAGAGGACTTCCAGAACGGCTTCAGAAAACAGACAGTACAGTGGGATAAGCGTGGTGGAAGTTAGGGGAAGTATTTTGAGGGGGATTATTGGCAACATGTCTTTTAGTATAATAAATTATTTAAATGTTCACTGCATATTTCAATTACACCCAAATTTCACAAACTCTCCTTTCTACTTCTTTTTTTTTTTTTTTGGTACCAGAGATCGAACTCTGGACCTTGCACTTGGAAGGCAGGCGGCAGAACCACTGGGCTAAATCCCCTGCCAGAGAAAACTGGAATGAGTCTCTATTCCTTATGAACAGAGTTCAGTGGAAACAAAGATAACATAGCATTTCCTTGATTATCCTACCCACAACCCCACTATCCCCCAAAATATTCACATACAACATATAGGAGATGACAGGTTCTGGGAGAGGGAGGAGGCAGAAGAAAGAGCGTGAGAGAATTTAAATTGGGGGTTATTAACCGGGGGAGTGATAGGGATGAGAA